TTGACGAGCTCGACCAATCAATCAAAACCGTCATGTACGTCGGTCCCGGTTCTCTGGGTCCACGTGCGAAGAAACACCACCCTTCCTATGATAAGAACATGCACTAACACGTATTGGACTGAAGACCACGGCAGTTGTCGAGCTCATGAGTCAATCCATGAGTCGATACATGATTCAATCACACACCTGTGCGAACGGTTCATTCCTTCTTCGCTCTCATATTTCTCATCCTTCCTTACTCCCGCGTCATAACGCATGTGCCCCTATTCTCACCTACTCCGCCTCGTCCTGCTCTCATCTACCCCTCTAGCCTCGAACCCTGTAGCCTCCGAAACCTCTAACCCAGAACCCCTCTAGCCCCGAACCCCTGCTACACCCCGAACCCCTCTAACCCAGACCCCTCTAGCCCCCGAAACCCCTCTAACCCCGAACACCTCTACCCCCAGAACCCCGTAGCCCCCCGAACACCTCTACCTCAACCCCTCTAGCCTCGAACCCTCTCTAGCCTCGAACCCCTCTAGCCTTAACCCGTCTACCTTAACCCCGTCCTATCTTAATCCTTTAGCCACACCGTCTAGCTTTAACCCGTCTATCCTTAACCGGCGTCTAGCCTTTAAAACCGTCACATGCTCATTTAACCCGTCTAGCCTTTAACCCGTCTAGCCTTTACCGTCATAGCCTTTAAACCCGCTAGCCTTTAACTACCCCCGCTCTAGCCTTTAAACCCGTCTAGCCTTTTAACCCCGTCTAGCGCTTTAACACCGTCTAGCCTTTAACGCCCTCTAGGCCTACCTGCTATAACCCCTACTAGCCCTTAACGCCCTCTAGCCTTTAACAACCCTTTAGGCTCGACCGCACGATCACCCTTCATCACTACTTCTCACCCTCCCCAACCTCACGGTTTTGGGGCTCATTAAAACGGACAAGGGCTTTTTCCAAACGTAGACGCTGATCTACGATACCGCCTCACATGTCCCTTCCCTTTTTCCCACCGCCCGCGCCGCGACCTTTCGTGCCGCGCTACTGCCACCGCTGTCCTCCCACGCTTTTTTCGGGATCTGCTCGTTGACGTTTCATGGCGCCAGGTCGTGAACTACAGGCTGCCTCCGAACTACCAACCCACAGTTAACACTGAAATGTTGCACTGATTCTTCATTATCACGTCAATTACATCTACAGAATACGAATATTAACTCGCGAGGGCTACAAACACGCTACAAATCAAAGGAAAACATCATACGTTTGGGAGAACACAAATCCATGTTAAGGACAATTACTAAGCATTTCTGAAATCTCGGTCACTGGAGTGACAAAACGATGGAGATGTCAAATGAATGCAGACGTTATTCTGGAGCTTACGCAATTGAGTAAGATACCGATCGCGCCGCTCCGTTGACTCTGACCACTGAACTTACCGAGCGAAAAAAGGGTAACTGAGTGAGAAGAGTGTAATTTGAGGATAAACAAGCCATTACAAACCACTCTCTAAAACATTATTACCTTTCAATTCCTGTTATTCACCCCAGGTTCTCTCTCAATCCCATCAAATTCGCTGAATCCGCGGATATGCGAGATAGGATTATCCATGGGTTTATTCATGGGAGGTAGGGTTATCACCACCTCTCACAATAAACATACGAACTACACTTACTGGGCTAATGACCATAGTAGTCGATGTGCCTTGAAACAGGAAATAATAAAACAACACAGCCAGGATGCGGTGAGGCTGCGATGGCACGAGACGGAGCAGAGCGCACTCCATCGGAGGGCGAGAGCGGAACTGTGAACAGTCCTCTGCACACACCATTGCGCACACCCTGTACACACCATTGCGCACAGTCAATGGGACAGCATGGGAGATGTTAGAAGTAGTATATTATAATAGCATAAACACGTGAGATTATTTTTAAACTCTCAAATTTTACAGCGACTAATGGATTAATCAAACATTTACAATGCACGAGTTTTAACGTGCACCAGGAAAGCCTTTCCGCATCAAACCGAATGAGGACCTCGTATTACAAATTGCACTGGGAAACACGTAAAGGTGACACCACTTCCAGCATCTGTCATAATTGTGGTGAGTACGCAATTTACGTTTTCATTTGTTACAAGCTGCAGTTCATGCTACCAACATAATTTCTCTTGTTAACTCTCTCACCAGACACTGGTGGCACTGCGGTGACACTTTCCTGGTGTGTTACATTTAATATGACTATTTAGTGCATAAATACGTTCATAAACTCAAATAAAACTATTAACTAAATTTAAAAAAGTGATACGTACTGCAATTTTAACAGTACAGAACATCTCAATATTACTGACTTCTGAAACGATTTAATTTAAACTATGAAAGTATACGAAGATTATTTTATTTAGAATGTTTCGTTTGTATTCTAAAATATCTACTCTGTAATGAGAAAGGCATGCAAAAAGAATGCCATTTTTGATAAGAAAGGTGATGGAAAAAGAAAGTGCTAAATATGCTAGTACTGGCTTGGTATGGAAACTGGATGAGCGAGTTCAAGCGTTTGACGCGGTTATTTTGTTTTCAGCATATAGTAATAAACGTGTTTCCTCAGACGCAGCCAGAAGCGCTGAAACACAAACAGTTGAACATAGCTTTGTTGAAGTAATAACTTACGGTCTGCGCAGAGATCGACAGATAGTTTTGTATTCTGGTTTGCCTTTGTTGTGAAACTGAAAACTAGCAGTGATTAAGGTGGAATAGAGCATTATTGGGGCTGCAGCGATCGTGTCAGATTAGCCTAAAAGGAGGAAGCGGTATGTTTACGTTAATTATTGGGTTCAAAATAATGAGACTTGAGTTGCTGAACATGGTTGAATATGAATTGCTCCAGGAAGTCTGAAAGATTAAGGACGGAAAAGCGACATGGATGTACACGGGTCATTTATTGCGCGCTGTCTTTACTTCCTAGGCCCTTCCGTAGCCCCGGGCGGCCTGATGACTCCTCAACCCAAATGCCCCATCTCCCAAGTTTTCGAAAACCTCCGGCAGCCCTGCGAATTCGCGGACTGCCTAGAGCTCGACGTGGACTGCAGCGGCATCGAAAGGGATTGAAAACATTGACTGCGGAAGTGGCAACATTCCCACTTCCATTGACGTTTCCTCAAGGGAGCCAAGAGGCTGCGAATTTCTCACATCAAAGTAATCAGCGAAACGTCTCTTTTTCATCGGCTTGGAACGTTGTTACAAAGACACCCTGTATATATACTTTATATACGTACGCGGCGCTGGTCTGCCCTTTTATGGTTGTCCATAAATTTGGAGCGTCAGCGAGACGGAAAATACAAGGGCCCGGGGCCGAGATTTCCATAGAGAAGAGAGCGAATTACGCCGTCGCCCGCGCCCGCCGCCGCGCGCTGCTCTCGCCCAGATGAGGAAGCGGCGACTTTCAATCAAAGTGGAATGCTGCTCAGATTCAAAGCGATACTCCTCAACTTTTCATACCACAATCGCACGGGCCGTGAATCTTATCACGCGACGAGTGTGATGGATCGGAATAAAGCGAATGAAACACGTCTGCCGTGATTTATTATGCTCAGCGCTTGTAGACGTCTGTATTTCTTTCTCGTTCATTTAATCCACATCAATTTTACGCTTTAAATTTGTAATTTCTTGACAGATCTCTTGAAATTCGAAATATTTGTGTAGAATTACAAAAATAATTGAACAGTGTTTCTTAATTAAACACGAATAAATTGTTTGCAAGGACGCTCCTGCATTAATCAATATTGTGGTAGTCTATAGCTCTAAACCTGAAATTTATGTATGAATATAAATAACAATGGGATATAGACAATTAAATAAACAGAAACATTTAAAACCTAATATTAACAGAAACATTTAAAACCTAATATTAACATTAAATATCTGTTGTGTAGTGCGTAACTTAGTGTTGTGTGAGTAAACGAGTCATTGGGACAAATAAAATCATTGTTTTATTTGAAACTAAAAATTATATTTTTATTGAAGAAAAATAAAAGATTCTGTAATTTTGTGAAAGAAGATAGTAGCATAATCTGATGCATAAAGAGTAATTGATTAGCCAACTGAAAAAACGCTATCAGCCAAAAGGGAAACGTGTCAATGGTCTTGAACCAAATTTACTCATCTAGAGTTCAAGTCAGTTCTAGGCAGACAATCTGCGCATGATTTTGGTACGGAGAGAAAAAAAATGCGAGAAAATCTCGTTGAAGGAGTCAAGTATTCACAGAGTACGGAGAAAAAGTGCTCACACACTCATAGAAGACGCATGTAGACGGATGATTATAGGTATTAATGATTGAGATAAAAATGAGAGTTGTCATAGAGGGTGTTAAACGTTAATAAGTATGATATAAATGTCGAGGTGTGGTAGATGATAATTCGTCGGTTATGCAGACGAAGCTACCTTCGTGCAAGACTTTTCTTGTTTTCTACAGTGATACGTACCTGGACATAAATATGCTGTATGCAGACTAAGTAATGTGTGAAATCTTCACAACTCTAAATGGGTTGACATGGAATTTTTTTCATGCATGACGTAAACACTTAAATGCCGTAAATCATATGGTATTTCTATGTAAAATGAATATTGTCTTCAATATAGGCATAATGATGCATAATATGTTCGATCATTCGCACCTTTTTGTATTATTTTTTTAAATAGCATCAAATCAGTTACAGAAAATGCCAAATAAGATAACAGGATGCATAGTGAATTATTATGTAATAAATATGTATGTATAAATATATCGCGTTTTATATACATACGTCGTTGAGACGTAAATGAAGGATTGTCTTTTTTCAGATTGCCCTTGAGGTATATTGTTGCGATGACGTAAAGTTAGTCACCAGATTTACTATCCACAAATGTGTATAGGAAACAGACCTGTCGGTTGAAGGGATTATTGTGAAAGTAATTTGTTAGTAAACAAATGAGAATAGGTGTTTTTATTGAATTCAATAATACGTATGATGATACAAACGTGCTTACGACAATCGTAGTCTTCCGCAGCTAGAGTCCCGTGAACGCTCTCAAGTACAGTGGTGTCCATATGATGGTCAAAACGTCGGTCATGTAGAAGTCTTCTTCTGGACTGGAGTGTCAAAAAAAACGCTTACAACGTGCACTAGTGGTGATCAAAGAGGATCAAAATAACTTGGAGCATTCTTGAGTGTTGTGTTTCCAGCACTAATGTAAATGAGGGGCGGGCATGGGGTTGAGCGTTGGGAGATGTGTCGAGGGGTGCGGCGAGCCGAGACAGCCTGAGGCGGGCGGGGGCAGGTGGCACGGGCGTCTGAGAGCTGAAGGCGCCAAGGACGCGGAGGGGACGGGGACTGTTGGGCGCCTTGAGCGGAAGGTGGTGGTGGTGGCGGGCGAGGGGAATATGGAGGTGAGAACAAGCGGAGAAAGTGCACTTGAGGGGACCCCGCGGTGGTGAGAGCGCCCTGTCACTTCCATGAAGAAAAGATGATGTGCGTTTCGGTCATGGAGGAAAGCATTGAGATGCCTCTGCTCCTTTTGCAATTTGACGACTTGCTTTCTCTGTGCACAATTCGTGAGGTACAGTTCGTGAGGTACTAATGCTCGGAAAAGCGAAAGTGTACCGCCACATAGTACATTGTTTTGCGACATGACTTGCGAAATGCCCTATCATTTCATTTTGTATTGGTAGTAACCACGTAAGTGTGTTATTCAAGGGAGGAGCTGTTGCTCTCGTTCATTTGTCAGTTACAGAAAGTTTCTTTTGTCCATTTGAAAGGTGGGCCATGAAAGATTGTCCTGCAAAAGTACCTCGGTACTGAGATAGTAAGTTACAACTCGATTTATAACTTTAATCGTTTAATCGATATTCAACGTATTGTATGTTACATGAAACCACAAATGACCAATGATGGAGCAGGGTTACGTGCGCCTCTTAAATAACTTTTCTGATTAAATGTCATGTATAATACTGTTGCATCATACAAAACATGGTATAAAACTCATTAACATTCAAATAATGGCATCGTACTACATTGGAAAATGTCATCACACGGCTAATTGCATTTCCACAACACACGGAATAATTCCATTCATGACTGAACAGCGCCACGATTTTTGTCGCGTGACTTCGTAGTAAAGTAAAATCGATGCAGGTACAATTTTGCGTATTATTTTTTAAATGTACACTAACAAATATTGAAAAAACAGTGAGTTACTTTATAGTAATTTTATGTCTAGCAAGTACTCGAGCATAATATTCGAAGTAATAGTTGCGGACTATTTTTAAACCAAGCGTGAAACGAACACTCTTTCGTAGAAAAGAAATGTGATTTATAGAGTCGATTACGAATATAGAGAACTAGTAGTATACAGTGAACGTTTGGTTATAATGAACCAATATCATGTGACTTTAACCTCGTACATTACAAATGAACGCTAGGCGACTCGGTTATAGCGAACTCTCCACATTGGATAGAGTGAATCGGAACAGCTTCCAGGAAAATATACTTCGCCTCGGAACGGGGAATTCTAATAGCCACAGGCTTTACAGGTGGAGGCATTTATGAGTTATTTTTACAACAGTTACGCCAATACGTATATAATACGCAATGACATTACACAGTACGCCAATACGTAATATATCGCAGTACATTTCATCCACATTTTGCCAACATTTATAACATAAAATCGTATTAGGACATCGTAATTGCTATGTAAGTGTCTTCCAGAATAGACGAAAACATGAGTGATAACAAAGAGGATAGAAATGAAGAAAATATGCCAACAGAGGAACAGTCGAGAATAAAAAGACTGGATTTCGATATTTTGAGAATATGGTCAATATACTTGAGGAGGAAAATCAGGCACTCTGAAGAAGGATCTAAAAAAGAATATTAATAGAAATGTGTACAGATCAGTTAGTAATAAAAGAAATTGTTTAAGACTACATACATATATTGAAATTTTAAATTCGTGTTGGCTTATTCTACTAAACTTTTAAAATACGAAATACATCGTTAGGAAGCAGCTATCTTCTTATGGCATATCGGATATAATGAAACTCACATTGTTCAGAGGTTCACTATAACCGGAATCGGCTGTACACGTATTGAAAATAACATTTCGCTCGATCTCTCGTTCTTCGATAAGATTGTAGGTAGAAAGTGTACATTTGCTTGTGAGCAGACGCATGTGCAGATGCACTTGGCGCCGCTCTCCCTTTCACGGCCCGGGCGTGCATTCCCACTATTCCCCTCCCTCCCACCCACTCCCCCTCGCCCCCCCGCGCAGGCCGCCTGCGGCGATCAAATCAGAGCCACCTGCCAAGTTAAGCGCACGTAGCGGCATGGACCCCCGCGTGAAACCTTCCCCTTAATGCCTCGCCCTGTCGCTAGCCGGCGCGCCGCCGGACGAACTGGGCCGCGAGAGGCGGGATGACGTGGCGTGTCCTTGTAAGGCTCCGCTTCAAGGGTGGAAGTGCGACCACGTTCGGGGACGGGCGCGCAGAAGTGGGAAGTTTAGAGCGGGGTCGGTAAGGCAAAAAGCCAGGTTTAATGTAGAATGTTTTGGCGCTTACATGGAGGGGCGGGTCGTAGCAGCCGGCGACTTAGATGATGTTAGAAAGCGAGAGCGGTAGAGCAATGTGGAGCTAAGTTGTTTTCGCGGCTGCACCCGCGACGCGGGGCGGGCTGCCGCGTTAGCACAGCGATGCAGTATAACGGGTGAGCACGCCGTAGCGGAGTACTGAGAAGCAGGGGCAAGTAGCAGGCAGAGCGATCTCTAAGCCGAGGTACGCGCCTGCACAAAAGCGAGGGCGTGGGTGCCGGCGGTAGACGATACTCAGCTTCCAGCGAAGTAGCGGAGCGGAGTGGTAAATTACCAGTGGAGGTTGACGCCCTAACGGTTTGTGCGAGCGGAGCCAGACGACACGGGCAGCGGAGCTGCAGCAATAGCGCTAGTACCGATGGGCAAATTGGATGTACAAAGCTACACTAGACTTCACACCTTGTGAGGATGGACCACTTTACGTTTTGAAGCTCGGGGAATGCATCCACCTCTCTGAACGAAATTTTCTCTAAGTCGTAGAAGAGATGTCAATAGGATATTAAATATTGCCACATTCATATTTATTATTCTCATTTTGAAAGACAAGTTTAAAAAATTTAACTATTATTTTAATAGAATTTAAAAAAATCAACTTATGTCACAAGAAACTGTGTTCCCGAAAACCATCCGGCGTGGTGTGTAATCAAGGAGAGTTAACGCAGGAGTGCCAGCGTTTGCAACGCCCAGGCGACCCCGCTTGCCACGCGCAAGCGCAGCTCTAGCGCAGACGGCGCGCGCGTGTTGCTTGACGCGGCCACCACCAGCGCATTGGTAACATGTAGGCCGGTGAGTGCTTCCGTTGCAGCGACTCCACATTGCAGCCCACAGCCACAACCCCGACGCCTCGCCCCGCGCCTTCCTCCTCCACCCCCTCTCACCCCTCCGTGCCGCGCCCGCACAGCAGATGACGCCGCAATACGTCAGGCACATCATTATCATCCATGAGCGTGCTATGAATATTCCATACTGACAACAACACTCTCTCTAATCAGGGCCCGGCCGCGCCGCGCCTAACAAAACTGCTCTCGCCGGGAGAAGTAACTATGGGCCAAGATGGCTATATCACACGGTATCTCCTCTCTCGCAGCGACGAGTGCAGGCCTGAGGCCGCCCGTCGAACTGGAGCAGAGGTCAGCGGAGAGGTGGATCTGCGAGAAGAAAGACACTGAGTTCAAGAGCATGGTTGCTTTTTGGTGTGCCGCGCGGAGAAAGGTAGAAAAAAAATTGGGTTTACTCCTAGTCCCACGTACATCTATCAAACCAGGAGTTCATCTCAAAGTATGTGTAGATGCCTTGGGCTCGTCACTAGTAGGGTTACAAGTTCTGAAGCCAAGATTCCAAAGCGACTACATTAGAGACTATCTAAAATGATTGCAGGAGTTCTCTGTGATAAAATCTCATATTCCCTTATTGAATAGGCGGCACAGGTTTGAAAGGCTAAATAATTTCCGTCTTTATACGGTGGTTATTATGTAAATTAAATTATTTATATTGAATAAAAAATGTTTGTTCAGTTAATAATTGTATTCATTACTAAAATGTGAGTATGCATTTTTGTCATGATATAGATTGGTACCCTCAGAGAGCACGGACAATCTGCATGAAGAACAACAGCGAGGACTATTCTATTGACTTTTTCAACGAGTTACAATATTAACTATCATCGTACTTCTCGTCCGCTCGAATTAATACGATAACTGAATGGATGAAATATGAATGAAGAATATAGGATGTGAAACTCTTTATTATGTGTTCCTGCTCCAATACGAAACATACTGCAGTTTGAATAGTATGAATATAATTTAAGATATAAAAAAAAATGGGTGTAATGAATCCATGATGAAAATATCAACATAGCCCTGTAAATTACTGGCATAGGATGGGAAAAAATTAATGTATGTAATTTATTTCGAGTTAGTAGAAAGGATCAATCAACTCTTTACTACAAATTTTCTTTGCGCAGGAATCTTGTAGTACATGTCACCCACTGTACTAGAATTTCTGGATTTTGATATTTATTTTCAGTTCAAAACCTACAAAAATAACTGTAGTATCTCATTATAAATTATGAATTAAATTATGATTTCTAGTGGTTTTATATATGCTCCTATGAAAGCATTCTTCCGCAAGAATAATGCAATTTCTTTCACAAATAAATCTGTGAGGATGTTGTTTTAATTGAACTGTAAAGCCCTAGGCCCGTACATTAATATTTATTGTCACCATCAGAGATATGCACATGTGTCCAACCAAATCGTGTATTAGTTTCTACCAAAATAATAAGAAACAAGAAAAAAACACAAAATGAAATTTAAGAAGTAAAATTTGTCAACGTTTCCGGAAGATTTTAGAGATTGATGCACGTAACGTCACAATAAAGACACACAATAATGCAGATGAAACTAAAATGTTGTAAATTTCCATTGTCACATCGGATAAGCATTATAGGAAGCAT